ACAGTCTTCCTTCCCACCAGGGGAAAGATACATCAGGGGGAGTGGATTCCCTGGCCCCGTACCAGTCTCTGCCCCGACCCCTGGGGCACAGACCCCCAAGCACCACGGGTTGAGTCATGCTGGGCCAGGAAGCTCATCTCTGCCTGCCCCTCACAGCCCCAGTCACATCTCCAGCCCTTGGCACCTTTACAGTGCCCATCCCAGTCACTGCCCACAGTCAGTTCTGTGCCGCACCGCACCAGTGCCTGGGACACTGCACCAACTGCCCAGCCCACCGGTGAGGCAATGGGGTGAATCTGGGGTCACCACGGCTCATGGGAGGGAACCCAGGCATCCAGAGGCCACAGCATAATTAAATTATTGGAGAACATCATCAAGCAAAAAAACCCAATAGCCGATAACATTCATTTTCCTTTTATCAGTGCCGATCTAATACATTGGTGCACCTCTAATTTAGGTCAAACCCGTTTGTGGAATTTCTGTCCCAGACCCCTTCTTGGTTCAAGTTAACTCACAGTACCTCAGCATCCCAGGGTGCTTTGCAGCCCTGGGCTATGCTGTCTGCTCCAGTGGAGTAGGGACTGCTTCACCCCTCTGCTCCTTAGTCTACTTCTTACCTGGGTCTATCAGCCCATAGGGCTGGGGGGACAGGGGAAAAGACCCCCAGACCCTCCTAGCCAGGTTATACACAGCACCTATGGTGAGGAATATCCCTTGTGGTGGGGGCTTTTTGACCCTTAGCAGCATTCCCCCATCCCAGCTGCTGACTACTTCAGCCACTGCCACAGGTGGGAGGGAGAAAGAGCCAGGCAGCTGCCCATGCAGGCCAGCATGGGGACACTGGGGAGCCCCTACCTTGGGGGGCTCTCCCTCACCCCAGCTCGGGGCAGCCCCAGGGAGCTGAGGGGAATACTTCCCCTCCTGAACCCCAGAGCTGCTTGCTTTAACTCCTGAAATTGTGATGGATAGCCCAGGGAGCGGAGGGAAAATCTGCTCCTCCACAGCCAGTTTTGCCTCAGCTGCTGTGAGTCTGAGGCAAAACTAGTTGAAAAATTTCCCTCTGCTCCCTGAGGCTGCCCTGGGCTAACACTGAGACTCAAAGCAGCTGAGACAAGCACCTCTGCAATTTGGGAGGGAAAAAATTCCTGTCAGCTCCCTGGGGCTGCCCCGGGCTAGGGTGGGGAAAGCCCCCCCAAGGCAAGGGTTCCCCAGTGCCCCCATGCTGGGATTTATGAGCAGGCACCCAGCTGGAGGACTCCTTATCCCTCTCTCCTGGGGCAGTGGCTGAAGCTATCAGCAGCTGGGAAGGGGGGAGGCGGGGGGTGGATTACCTTCAGCTTTCCAGGGCTGCCTGGGCTGGGGACCCCAGGCTGGTGGAAACCTCCTGAGGGGGAGGCTCCTTCAAGGTGGGCCAGCACCTGGACAGGGGTCTCCTTAACCCCCTGTGGGGGGGACAGCAGAGGATTGGTCTGGGTCAGTGCAGGCCTTCCCCTGCATTTCCCAGTTGAAAACTGAACACCAGCTCAGTTGGTTATCGGTTCAACCTATGCAGCATAGAGGAAGCTGCCTAAATTGAATTGATTCCACCTCAGGCTTTTTGACTGTCTGTACTTAGCCTAAATGTCTACAGGTCTAAGGTAGAATCTGTTTTATTATATGGCGTGGAAGTATAGAGTGATGACTTGCTTCATTGAAAAATAGAAAAAAATACAAATTACTTTCTAAGGTGGCTTTTATTTCTACCAGACTCTACACCAGCAGGGCTCATGTGGCCTGAAACATGGCTGCTTAATGTGAGCACTTCAGCTCAGTTAAGAACCCTAATTACTGAGTAAAAATGAGTACCTGTACCTCTATCTATACCCCAAGAAGTGCATTTTAGAGGCCTTTCCTCTTCCACATAAACCCTTTGTTTGGATGGTTAAATAACATTTTATACTCTCCTCCAGACAAATGGCCTAAGAAAAGTGCTGACAATCACTGATCCAATATTCCCCCTATATTTAAAACCAAACAGAAACCAGATATCAATTGAAGAATAAAGATGCCAGCATATAGACATATATGTATGGGGTCTGACACCATTTGCCTACATCAGGGGTTTTCAACCTTTTTTAACAAGTGTACCCCTTCTGGTGGCAGCACCCAGATGCATAGCGGGGTGGGGGGCTTGCATGTGGTGGCCACTGCCCACCACTCCACACTGCCACTACCACCATGCCCTACTTTCCCATGGCCGGTTACACATGCAGTTCCGCGGGCTGCTAATGGGCCTGGTGCCCGGCCAATTGCACGCCACCTGCGAGCAGCCCACTGAGCTGCACATGTGACTGGCCATGGGAAAGCAGCACACAGTGGCAGCAAGAGGCAGTGGGTGGCGGTCGCTGCTATGTGCAAGCCCCCTTACTCCCCCCAGCATCCAGCTGGCTGGGCGGTGCCTATGTGGCCCGCAGAGGGGTGCCACTGTTCTCACCTCCCCCTGCCCTGGTTCTGGGAGCAGGCACAGAAACACATTCCACCCCACCATTCAGACCCTTTGCACCTTGCTGCCCTCGCAGCTCTGCAGGTAGGGGGTGGCCACAGCACCTCCTTGCCATCAGCTATTGGCTGAGGGTGGTGGCTCAGCAGCCAAACAGGAGAGCAAATGGGTGGGGAGCAGGGAGGCACCACAGTGTGCTGCATGGGGCTGGCGGCGCCCAGCATGCCCTTCCCCCAGGTAAGAGGTGACATGTGGGAATGCGCTGGGGGAGACATTGCCACCATGCCCCAGGGCATGCTCCATCCCCACCCACCCGCGCAAGTACCCCTCTTCAAGTACCCCTAGGGGTATGCATATCTCCAGATGACAACCCCTGCCATACACAGACAGGGCATGTTCTTGCAGGAACAATGAGGCAGACCATTTAAATCACTATTTGTGATTTTGCTCATTCTTTGAAGAAATAAGAGGAAAATTGATTTCTCCAGTAACTGAAAATGTTAAATACTGGGCTAATGAAGAAAACAACAACTTGGCTCCTTTCTAATAACTCACAGCCTGTCCTGTGCTCCCCAGGTGTACTTACATTATTTGCACAAAGAATAAGGGCCAAACTCAGTTAAAATTTCCCTGTTTCTATTCTTAAATATGGTATCCTTATTTTACTTTTTGTATCGTCATATATTGTTTATTTTAATTTTGTTTAAGTTGCCAGGATTTTTATACTTTTATGAATATTCATACATTATATAATTTTATTATAGTATATATAATTATATTGTAAATTTTACTGTATTGTTTTAGTGAAAGCAGTAAATAAACTACTCCTGCATCTAGTCAGCAGTATTGTGAAAAAGAATCTGAGGGTTATTATGTAACAAACTGTGTATTGGGATGCTATTGTAAAAACAGAACAACTCTCATTCTGTGATGTATTGCTAGATGCCTCATATATAGGGAACGACAGGTAATATAATTCCACTCTAACCTACACGGTGAAGCTGGAGTCCTGTCGCCAGTTTTGGGCACCACACACTAAACTAATCTTTTGAGATCCCTTACAGCCATATATTTCTGATTTTTATACTCAGAAACCTTTACAGGTGCTGTGTTTTCATACATATGCAATAAAGAGGACCGAGTATTGTGAGCTTTTTATCTTGCAATCTACAGTGAGACTGAAATCAGTGAATGGATCACGATACAAAATGTTATGATTTGAACTAACCACTTTTATCTTAACAGCTTCTTTTTTAATCATGAATAGAGATTTACAAATAGACTGCACCAGTTTTAAAAGAAACACAGTTTTTGTTTGGGTTGGCTTATAGGCACATTTTTAGTGTCACAAGAACATCAAGAACATCAGACATATTTGTCTTTTAGAAGGGTATTAGTCAGGCAAGTTATTTGGTGGAAGTGTACTTGTCCCTTTAAAAAAATGTTTTAATATGTTCATCATTTCATCTTTAAGACTATTTTTACTTAACATCCTATTTTTATTGTTTTTATCATTCAGAATACAACTGGAGTCAAGAGATTTTTGGTTAACCAAAGAAGTAATCTGTAAATAAAGGGTCTCTACCTTAGTAATGGAAACTAGACACATACATCTTGGACAAACATACCTTTTAATTGCTTTGAAAAGGCAGTGAGAGTTGCTGATCAGGAACACATTAGCAGTTGCAGTGAAAACCTGTGATACAAGGTAGCTAAACTGCTGTAACAACTCTGAATTGAAACACTTGTTTCACTAGAGAAACATGTAGCTATGACAGCAGAAAAGGTTATACTGCTGTCATGTAATGCTGATACAATTGTTACATCTGTCTATACCTGTAAGTCTCAAGTCAGCAAAAACTTCAGTTTACTTCAATAAGAATTCTGTGAAATATCCACCATGATTTTTTTTCAATATTTTTATATCAAAATCACAATACGTGTTCACCTACTTCTCTTCCCATGTCATTATTGAAGATTAACAAGGTAAATAAAGAACAACTTTCCTTTTTCCACTAAATCTGGCCCTCATATTTGACATGCAACAATCCAACATTCGATCAATTATAATTACTTCCATGGCAGCAAACTGTAACACCACCAACACCAATTGATTTATCTTATTCTGCCACACTTTCAACAAAATGGGTTAGCTTCTTTAAAATAATTAAAAGTTGCAATGTAAATCAAAAGAAATTATTTTATTCCATTCTTATCCATGTAATGAACCAAACCAAATAAAACCAGACTTGGTACATTTCCAGAACATTTGGCAAGGGATGGGGCAGTGCATCCTTGGGGAAGAAGACAATACCATTCAGAGGGATTTAGTGATAAATAACCAGCTCTTGAGTTCTATTTCTTATTTTAAACTATCTACACCCACTGACAAAATTATAAGCATATTCACTATGTTTGGCTCTTATTATACAAAATGCATATATGAAAACTATAATTGTTATCTTACAAATTTACATAGTTTATTTTTGAATTATTTAAATACTATAAATTATATACTTACTAATAATACCAGTTTTTGATATTTCCGTTTCAGTTCCGTCAGGCTGTCTGATGGCTTTGCACCCAGAATGTCATACCAATCCTTCTTTGGCATCCTTACAAGGGCCGTCATTTCATGAGGTACAAAATTACTTTCTTAGATCTGTTTAACAACAATAAAAATATAATTTGAAGCATTCATTTAAAAAGAAAAAAATGTGAATAATCCTGTAATGTATGACAATACATGGGGCCGTGGCAGAGAATGACATCAACAATGACTGGAAGAGGCCACATCCTTCAAACGCCAGCTTATTAGCACATGTAGTCAGTCATGTTATCCCGCAATGGGTTTTGCATCATATGGAATGAGCTATTTCAACTGGAAGCAGCACATTTGCTGATGGATTGTATTCTATTTTCTAAGGGCACTAAGCCTTCTAAGTTCCATATTTCTTCCTCTCTCTGTGGTTCTACTTCTCCCTTTCCAACGGCCAGCCTCATGAGAGAAAAAAAGAAAAGAATCTGAGCAAGCCAGTGTGTGTGTGATGGGGACAAAGGCTAAATTCACAGTTCAGAGAGAGATGCTACAGCTAGCTCTGAATAAGCTGGCTTGGGTATCAGCAGTATAGCCGCATTGTCAAGGGATTCTAACCAGGTGAACTATCTCCATGCTATGCTAAGGCAGCTATGCTCCTCCCAGTACCCAAATGAGTATATTCAATTATCTCTACTTGGTATCTCATTGTGTTGTGTGTACATGCCTGAAAATTAGACTTGGTACAAGGACACATGAACAAATTAGACTGAGACAAATGCGGGCAGAGATTTACAATGTACTAGCTACTCCAGGGGTAGCTAACCTAGGGCATGTGTGTTACAAGTGGGATGGGCAGCATATGTGTGCGGAATGCAGCAAACAGGAAAGAGGACAAGCAACTTACTGGAAGATAGGGAAA